CCAGTGCACCTGCTGTATCTCTCCAGCACCGTATCTCTGCCGCACCAGCAGTCTGGCTGTACTACAAGCAACATACGCCTGACCTATCAGTTCCCATCGTTTACTGGGCAATGGGCGAACCGCATACGCCGAGCCTGGGTGCCAGCACAGCACCAAAGCCGTGCAACTGCACCATGAGTCGCTGCACGGCACTCAGTGCACGACCGATACCATCAGACTGACGGTCACGACACACCCTATACTCCGTGTTCCAGCAGAGCGGGCGATGTGGGGTGTTCTGTGCTGCTTCAGTCCCAAACTCCAGCGCCAGTCTGCCTCCTGAAAGACATCGGCGCCCCACTCACGTCCGTCTCTTGAAATGCTCATGACTTTTGATGCGGCCTTTATTGAATAGAACGTCCATAAACATGAGATGGGTTAAATTAACAAACTCTTAACATGGTTGTAAATTGTTGGCAAACATCTGATTTGATAGTTACAACGTCCTTTGCAAACCGCTTGTTGAATATTAAACATATTACAATCGTCTTGTTGCTGGTAAAAGGCTGCGATATGTGCAGATGTTTTGATGCAGAACGATAGTCTGGCTCCATCTCTGTGGTCTAGCCGGGTCTGAACTGTGTCTGCGGTGGGGAAGACTCGGCCCCCGATCGTTGTGAGCTAACCATTGTTAACAGTAAGTCTTGTAACGGTTTCAAATCGCCTATCGTGAATAATGTTTTGCCGTGGAAAGAACTTTTTGTGGTCAACCTGGCTGGCGGCTACTAAGCAACGACTAATGAACTGTGTCCGCAGCTGTCATGTCTGATGGAAATCATGCGTGGCTGGGCTGTCATGAAAAAAGTTTCATAACACTGCAGGCAAAAACTCGAATCTCTGCAGTGATCAAGACCTGCCGCTGACGTGTCTGGCGAGCGGTGCGCTGTACCCAAACCACTGCACAGGCGCGGCTGATCGACATGGTCCGAACTGAACCGTCTGCAGTCGAACATCGACCGCGTTTGGTGACGGCGCCTACCAAATGGAGTGCAGAACATGCCAAATGGAGCTCCTTATCAGCTAGTTATGTAACTTGCTGCGGTCGCGGTGGGAGTTATTCGGCTCCGTCCGATGTTCAAGATATACAAGTCTGGCGAGTGTCGGTTCCTGGCGCCGCCTCTGTCGTCTATCCGACTCCCGATCAGATGTCATGCAATTTGGGAGGCGTGGCGCGCATACCAGCGCTCTGTGGGCTGCCCCGGCACGGTGCTACCCGGCCAGAGGCGTGGTCACTGAGCTCAGCTGTGAGCGGTGAGCACGGCTCGAGACGGCGGTGGTGGGAGCGACAGGCGGATCTTCCAGAGACCCCTCTACCGGCTCCTGGTGCCGGCACCGAGCCGCCGCTGTCTGCGGCAGCCGGGCTGGAAGCCGGTAACTGATGGCCGTCAGTCCCTGCAGAATGGTCGACCAACGGCGGGAGAACGGGATACCTGACTCAGGAGGGATGGTATCCGGGTGTTGCCTCCGAGTCACCAGTCTCCGTAGCGCGATGTTAACCTCGAATCGCTGAACTCCCTTGTCTGGCCTCTCCTGTTTTCGCTTCACCTGGCTTTGTTTTACCCTGGGGCGAGCTCCCGAGATGGGATCGTCATTTGAACCTCGTCCGCATGACTGAGCTCATCGAGAGCGCCGATAAAAACGTGGTGCTCGGGCGGACCTGATCAGGACGCTTCGTCGAGCTGTCCGAAGGATGACTGAGGATTGGATGACCTCGAACGGTCGACCGCACGACCGCTCCCGTCTCTCCGCTGGTGTGGGGTGCCCCATCAGCTCTCACCGTTTCACCTGCAACCTTCGAAGTGTTGTTGTTCATGACTCAGGTCACGGCGAGTTGTCCTGCGCGATGGTGTAAACGGCCGCGGCCTGCCAGTTGGCTTGGCTACAGCCTGCAGAAGCCGGTGCGGTGCAGCCGTGTCAGTCGGTCCAACCCCTGCCGTCCCCGCCCCCGCCCCCGTCGTCTGTGACCTTACTGGGCGGCAGGCTCAGCGGCTGAGCGATCGCCCGGCCCGGCGCGGCGGTGCGCCGCCCGCCGAGAGGCCATCTGCCGACCGCCGTCGCTGCTCTCTCAGAGGCGAGTTGCAGGTCACTGGCGGTACTCGACCCGAGGTCACTGGGAGTTCTCTACTCTGCCTACAGGAGAAATGACTGATCGGTACGGGCTCAGCCCCGGCGCACACTGGGCCGGGGGCCCGGAAAAGTGCTAGAAATTATCTGTGATTGAGTTGTTGATCTCAGTGACAAGCAAACATGCTAAAAACGACGTGGGGCTGCTTAACCCTCGCCGGACCTATTGTCGGACCCCCCTCCTCCCTCGGCCAGCCGAGGGGGGAGGGTTGGTACGACCCCTTTTCGGCGTTTCCCCCCTAATGGAGCTAGAGCCTCGCGGAAAAAAACAAGCGTGTGCGCCGTTTCAAGACGAAACGATTGATACCCGATTTTAAGGTCCCAGGTCAACCGGTAACCTCTGAGGTGAAGTCAAAAAGCCCAAGGTAGGGTTTAGTTTTTGGTAAATAATTTCGCAAAAAATGGCCGCAGAGCAGCGATTTTGGCACCATCGTGTTCGCCTGGCTCAGGCGCGTCGAATGGTATACTTTTTGTCCGGGTGAGGTCAACTTAAGGTGTTGACCTCGAGTCAAGGTCAGTTCAGAGCCCATCAGGCCACGAACTTAATCGAAGGAAGTCGTATTGCATATCATTCGATTCGGGAGGTCTTCCCGAGTCCATTGGTGGCTTTCCCGAGTCGCTGGCTCAATTTGATCATGAGTTATTGACGAGAAACTCCTATGACCGTAGTGACGTCATAAATGACGTCACGGAAGGTCAAAAATGCAAAAGTAAAGCATCGGATCTTGCAAGGAGTGCATGAAATCACGATTCCGAGTGCTTGAGATAGTTTGAGATCATTTCATGCGCAAAAACAACGGTTTCCTTATTTCCCCATTGACTTTTATTGGTGAGGTCACGTGACCTCGAAGAGTAGCAGGCATTAGCAAAAATTGCGAGTAGGGCATGACAGAAAGATGATTAGTGGTTTGTATGGCATGGTCATTTTTAGCGGCTCGAAATAACATTTCTCAAAAAGTCTGACTAAAGAGCAAGTTGTTGTTGATTATCACTGACTTGTGTTTGGGGGGTTAATAACGACTGAATTTTTTAGTTTGGGCCAAAATTTTTAACAGCATTGTGTGCGTTGATCAATTCTGAGCTCAGGGACATATATTCTATTCTGATTATACGCGTTTGTTTTTCAAAACTTCCAGCGCTTTAAAGAGCTCCGGGCCTTCAGTAGAGCGGCGAGGTGACAATTGCCCCTACATCATGTGGTTTACTTGCGCATATCTCGAAAAGTAGCAGGGAAAAGCAGCAAAGCACCTATATGGAACGAAAGATGAGTAATCAGAGGCTAGTATAAAATGTTCATTTTTAGCTGCTCGAAATCACATTTTTATAAAAGTCTAATTAAAAAATTAGATATGATTTTTAATTACGTCTTGCAGCTGCTTGCAAAAAGCTAGCTTATCTTGCAGAAAAGCTATGCAATATGTAAGAATGATGTTGGCACAGTGAACAACAGTGCCCTAAACTAGTCTGTGAGGAAATTTCGTTCAAAACGACGATTGGTCAGCTAATAAATTACCACTGAAGATCATCATGAAAATCGGTAAATGTGGTGGCCACTAGAGAGTCTAAATTGTCTTGTGTTTGGTGACAACTGACGACCTCAATTTTGACCTTAGGGAAAAACTGGCATCGGAATCGTATTCTTCGATCAATTTGGGATTAAATGATACCTATTTTGTTCATATTGCGGAGAGTCAGTTTGGGGGAATTTCTAGCGCTTTTTCGGGCTGCCGGCCTACAGTGCGGCGACTCACTAGGGTGCCTGCCCAGACCAATGTCTCCCCCTATATCCTATTATCCTCCCGGCTCTGAAATGGTCTGATTGGACCGAAAGGGCTTAACCCAACAAAACAAAACAAAGACTGATCGGTATGACTGCTGGACTGAGCGTCTGTTCTTAAGGTGTGGGATGATGGTGGATATGTTTGAGCCCGACTAATATGCAGTATTCTATTGACCGTCCTGTTGCGCTCTTGTAGCCTCTGACTGCTGTAGCGGTGGTCATGGTAGCTGACAACTCTACAGGGCCTCTGCGGGGTAGTAATGGCCGAAACGGCGTCTGGCATGGCATTTGTTTGGATAAACTCGTACTATATAAACAGCAATTAGTGCTTATGTAACTAAACATAAACCATCATTGCAGTAGGATTTACTCATGCCTCGCTGTTGCAAGATCTGATCTATGTAAGGCCTTGGTTGCCGAGCATGACAAGTTTTGTAGGAGAAACGTTCGAGCCAATCATGGCAGTCCAGAACATTGATGTATTTTTATCTATTGCCGGGTCAAGTAAAAGTACATATAATCAGTAAATCTACCTACCGAATTCTTGGATGTGTCCGATTCGAATGAAAACACCATTAATTTAAGATAATATATTCAGCAGACGGTACCCGAACCTGCATCGTATGCAGGTGGCGTGTTCCGCCTTTGGGTCTGTGACGTCAACGTAAGCGGCGCCGATGGCCGTCGGCCCACTGCCTCGGTAGGGCGGGCCAGGCGCCTGGCCGGCAGGCCGATACCGATCTGGCACGACCTTTCATGTCTGTCGCCCGTTGACAAACGCCCGGACGACGGCGGACGCTTCGCTCGCATCCGTAGGGTCGCGACGGCCCGACCTGCCTGGTTGATATCGGGTGAGTTCGACTGCCACTGGTGACTAGATTCCATTGGGGCTCAGCGCTGGGGACAGAAAACAGTGGCCTTGGGTGCGTCCGCAGCCGGCGGCTGGCGGGCACAGGCTTCTCACTTCCTGTAAGCGCAGTCATTGGTGTGTTGCTTCATAAAGCAGACAGTAATTACTAATTAGTAATTACATCTGCTCCAATACTAGTGTGACTTCAGTCATCGAGCAGCTATAATGCAGCGAACTTGATAAAACATATCCTTCATAGCACGGGAAAGCTGCTTGAGCAGTGTAATGAAAGTTACATTTGAAACACACTCAGTGTTGACTGTTAACGGGCCTTCATACCCTCACAGGTTAGCCTGTTCGGCGAGGAACGCCTTTATCTTCTGGAGCAGCTCCTTTTTGACCGAGTCGGGGACCAGCGCCCGTCCCCGGGGTGTGATCTCTGTCACCAGGTCGTCCACGGTGATGTTCTCGGCTCCCTTCTCCCTGATCACCTGGCGGCACTGGTCCTTGAGTCGGTCGTGCCAGTCGCTGTCTGCCAGCCGCTCCTTGAGCAGCGTCTTCAGCCGCTCCTTCTCCCCAGCCTCGATCAGCTTCTGGTTGATGGAATTCTTCATCTGGGTCTCGGTCTCCTCTGCCGGCATGGCTGCGGCTTTAGATAGAGTTCAAGAGGGACCTTTTTTATCGCTTATGGTGTGGGGAAGTGGGGAAGTCCTTGCAGCCCCAGAGTGTAGGATTGACTGCCTTCTTTTTCTGCGTTTGGTGCGACGTGATCTCAGACGAGGGTCGATTAGAGCGGACTCGACTGGGACTTGGCTGTAACCCTTCAGATATCACCACACGAAGCACAGAGCACAGTAGCACAGTCAATTCGGGACTCAACTGGGCACATCCGCTGTGCAGTAACAAATCCTGCCACCACCCTGTACCGCTCACTGTGCGTTGGACGCGTGCGTCGGGCCCACTGCGTTCGGCGGCGAGCCTGCTGCGTCGGCCCTGCACTGCGTTCGGCGCTGAGCCCAGCCCGGCCGGGGTCGCCACGGTCACCATACGCCAACACAGCCGTAGCCGGGCGACGCGGCCTGCCCGGCCGTGACCCGCACCGGTCGCGGGCATTGGGCGCGGCCGCGCTGACCGTGAGGGGGGGGGGGGGGCGCCGCGCTGCAGGCTGGCTGCGAAGGGGGACCGGGCCGTGTTTACGGCTGACAGTCGCACTGTGCGGACCTGTGTGGATCTGGCTGGCCTGTCCATATTGTGTCCATCCAGGCTCAGGCCCAGCGCCGCACTGGGGTAACCGCCGGGACCGATGTCCCACTCTGCACCCTACTGTCCCTAATCCGTATCATCCTTCCGGCTCTGAAATGGTCTGATTACACTGAATGGGACCGGGAGCAGAACACCGCGCCGGGTGGGGCTGAGGGAGCCCACATCAGAGCCCCGGAAGGGTTCTATGTATAGTGTCCCCCACCACCAGTCGAGTTGTGACGCACACCGCTACCTTGGTGTCAGTCAATTTACATAGAGTGGGCGCTGTTTGCATTTTAATAGCGGAGCTGTCAGAGGTAACTCATGCGAACGCTGCAGCCTGCCTCCGGCGTGGAACCGTCTGGGACGCAGCTCCGCGCGGCGCTGGTAGTAACGTGACCTCGTCTCTGAACGGGGTCACTGCGCCACGGCAGGTGTATCGTGACCTGACACCTGACCGCCTGCTGCTGGCGTCACGGCCATCCCGGGCTGCCGAGTTGTGGCGTCGTAGATCGACTGAGTTTCGGCAGCCGGCGGCTCCTCTTATTGCGCCAGTGACTGCTGATGTGAAGGTTTACGGATAACCTGTGTCATTTGGTCAGCGCGCGACCACAAGGTGCGATCGCTGCGACCACATGCCAACCTTCTATGGCGCATTGTTTTTGAACAACTGATCGGACAAACCCGGCGAGGCAATTTCTAGCTGAGGTGTCAGATGGGAAAATTAACCCTTAAAAAGAGGGGAGAGTACATATAAAAGGGCTGGTTATTTAGATGCACAGAGTGCAAACGGACCAATAGCATGTTTTTATTATAACGTATGGAATGTAGATTCCAAACCGAGCACACACACAACTGCTTTTTCTCGAAAAAAAAAACAAACCTTTCTTGGTTGGGAGTGGAAAATTGCTCCTCAAAATTGATGGTGAGAGTGGAAGATGAATTTTATTTGGATGTCATTTTCCATCCAAATTGACAATTTTTGGGACACTGCGGCGAGGTGAGAGTATCTGCCTGTCGACCTGCCGTCATTCGTGCTCTTCATCCCTGTCGCCGGCTCCATTAGCCGGGTCGCCGTCCTCTGCAATGAAATATGGATTTCACTGCATGGTTCTACGACGGACTGTGTCGTTTTAGCACCGCTAGGGCCGAAACTGTACCTGGGTTTCTGGTGTTGTAACTGTTTCGCTGTGCTGTTACCAAACAAACCCAACAATAGACATCGCTCTGGGAATATAACTTTTTGGACCACGGTGGAAAAGTAGATGGGAATAGCTCGCTGCACCGCCGGATCGTTGTCGGTACCGGACCTAAGCAAGGCCTCTGTTCGTCCGTCCTGCACGTCTCACACTATGTGCGGTCCTATAGATACATACAATAAAGGCGGCAGCGGCGCGCTCGCTGCAGATTAGATAGTTCGTAAACGGCGCCGGCCCAAGAACGGTTCATTGTGCAAAATGGATACTCTGGGAGCCTGCCGAGCAGCTGACACGTGCGGCCGGCAATGGGACGGCTCCGCAGAAGGAGAACTGCACCGTGTGACATTGACCCAGTTCGGCGGCACTCCAGATAGCCGAGGAGCCGTCAATATTAGCGGATGAATAATCTCAAAGCCACCGACAAGTGGCCAGTTGTACGTATGCATCACCGGCGGCTTTTATAAATCGTTTAAGTATTGCATCATTTTGTTTATCCAGTTTTTATCCCCTTGAGATGATGATCGGTTTTTACAAAGCACCACAAACATCGTGTTTCATAATTGGTGATACCGGTGGAGAGGCTATAATGTTTCGCTTATCTCTATCGACTATCATGCTCCATTACATATTCCTGATTGAATGAAACGTCATATAGAGTGTGTCCAATAATTGCGCTTCGCGCGCTGCTATAGGCAATAGCGTCCTTTTTCAGATTATTTCGGACAGGACATGAGCAGGGCTGCGGAGTCGGAGTCGGAGTCGGAGTTGGTCGGAGTCGACAGTTGTGACCGGAGTCGGAGTCGATTTTAGAAACCCGAGCCGGAGTCGGAGTCGGAGTCACCGAAAATCTGTCGACTCCGCAGCCCTGCTAGGTCTGCGGAGTCGGAGTCGGAGCTGGTTTTTGAAGGCCGGAGTCGGAGTCGGAGTCGGAGTCGCCGAAAATCCATCGACTCCGCAGCCCTGGACATGAGTCTCCACGTTTATTAGGTACCCTAAACCCTTCCCGTTATCGGAAGGCGTGTCTGTTATCTCTGTGTTAAACTGCTACCGCGCTGCAGCCAGCGAAGGCCGATGAGATAAGGATCCGCCTAGCTGAGAATTAACACCGCCGTAAAATTAACAGCCAACTCACTGACGTGCAGGTTTATGATTAAATCACAGCTGGATTATTTGAAGATGTCCATTTCTCAAACGCCGCTACTGAACTGAATGGGTGAGGTGAGGTGATGATTAATTATCACCCTTTATTTCATTCATTCACTCATTCATTATATTGACATGTTTTTATGGGCACCTACTGAGGAGGGACATTTTCCCCGATTGTCTTCCTTTTCAGGCGGCCGCTTCCTTCACAATAGTTTTTTCTTTAGCTATGTTGAATGGAGCTGGGACTGCGTTTACCGGAAAGTCTAGCAGTGACATGTTTGTTTTGATGTGTTTTTCTGTTTGGCACTGGTTCTCAATGCGCCAACTGGCAACGGCCTGTTTGGCCCATTTCAAAACACAATGACAAACTCGACTAATGCTCGCTAACACCGGGTACATGCTGTTGACATGCAGTGCCTTCGCGACACATTTTAATGGTCCATCACTGCGCCGCATACATTACGAACCGTGCTCCATCACCACCTTGCGTTAGGACTGCCACCTAGCAACTCGCTTGCTCTGACGCTCGAAGATTGACACACAGCTGTACGGAGGAGTTATCGACCCCCGCAGCGCACTCGACAGACATTGTTGTGTTTGGCAGCGACCACCAATCCACGCGCTGCAGCTGGGTGTTGTTTGGGTCGGGTCGGTACGGGCCAGTTCCCTATAACCCCGCGCGGCCGCCCTGGTATGCTGCATCTGGTCTCTGTTCTCTGTGGCGGGCGGCTCAGTTCGCTCGTCGGCCCGGTTGCTACGGTCGGCACGGACCGTCAGAGCTCTGACACCAGCCACAGGTGTGTCGAAGGCACAGCTGAAGACAGGACAGGACTATCAGTGCCGAGCCGGTGGGGTAGGAAAGAGGGGAGTGATTTTTATTGAGCTCCCGACGACCAACCCCAGTGCTGAATTGAAAGGTGACACAAATATTTGAGCCAGGAATCATTCATTGGCTCGGGCTCGAAAATCGTTTTGGATCACTTCAGATAAGCTCGACGTGGTGGATAGCCTTCGAGGGCCCACTCACTTTTTTTTCTTCGGTGCCCGACATTTGATTATCGCGCAGTCGCTGTGCCTAAAGCACGGTTACATCATTTCACAACGGCACAGGTCACGGCGCCGTACGTAGTGCTTCGTTCACTGGTCTGAGTCACGGGTGTTTGACATTTCCGTTTGAAACTCAGCGGTGACGAGGGCAAAGGGTTCGCGCTGGCTGTCGTGGATTAGTAACGACAACGAGGTTACAGCTCCCTTTCGTAACCAGATGACAGATTCATATGTTACGTCTGTCATATATCAACTGTCAGCCAGAGTGTGGTTTCAACACGGTCCGATACACGTGGCTTGACAATGGACTGACGGCGGTCTTGCGACTCAATAGTCTGACACGAGATTTAGCGAGTGTGAATATTGAATAAGCGCCGTAACACAGCGCCGCTTTTCTGCTATCCGTTCCTAAGATTTCTCGGATAAACACCACTGTGGTAAGCTTAACCTTTCCCAATTTCATACCCGTTATCGCCCACCTTCATATTCTACCTCGCCCAGTCGGGACGGATTGGACGGATTCCATCCGTCCGTTCCCCTCGCTGCTCGCCACACCGGATCTCGCGAGCTCGCAACAATAGCCGGCATTACGGGCTGCTGCTGCGGTGGGCCATCCTGCACCTGTGATTGTATCACTTGTCGCTCGACTGTGTTGTCGTCCCACCTGGTGTAGCACCGAATTGTTGCTATCCGCTCTGTGGGGAATGGTGCTGCTGTGGAGGCATGTCAGATGTTGAGGCCGTTCCTGTTGTTGATGTTTAGGTCGGATGTTGAGGTTAAGCCATTCAGCTTGAGCTGCCGTTCATAGTTATTTCGTATATTGTAAATCATCCATTACCCCGGGCTAAAAAAGTGTATAGGTATAGTAGGACCGTTTTGGGCTGGGTTGTAATCCGGCAGACACCAGCAATCAATGTAACAAGGAGTTCCTGCTCTGACCGTCTGAAGCCTGTCCGTCCCACGTGGCGCTTTAATTATCCTCACGGCCATTGCCGCGGACTGAAGCTATTCATTGCACGCGTGCGTTGATCCCTGAATGATAAACCGCTGCCGGTCCTGGCGTTTGGCAGCTCCAGGCATTGTTAGCGATCACATCACGATTGAGATGTCAAATCATTTCTGGATTTGTGGCATGTCGCCTGTCTGTCAAACATAGCCTTGGCTACCGGTCGTGCGCACTTTGCACCCCATAACTCCGGGTATGGACGCAGTCCCTCGCTACCGTCGCAGGCGCATACTGCAGCCTGCTGTAGCTGCCGGGCGGCGGTTTAACGAGGCCAGGGTCGGCATAATGGGACACTGTCGCTCCGGGCGGGCACGGACGTGTGCTCGGCTGCAGCCTGTCACACCGTTTACGCCTGTGTGACGGATGACCGCCTGTTACCGGCGGAGTCCTCTGCTCTTCGCGTCTGGCTTTGGTGACTGGTTCTCTCGCTGTGCGTGTCGGTTGCATCAGCCCGTAGTGCGTCGGTGTGTCCCCCCCCCCCCCCCCCCGGTGTAGATCGCTTGCCGATGTTGTCGGGATCGGTATGTGCAGGACCGTCGCCGCCGCCGCGGACGGCGAGGTGTTTTTCCATAGTGGGTGCTGTTTGGTAGGTAGACTGCGCGGCCTACACCGACTGAATGATGCAAGGAGCGGACGGGCGACACGGCTTGGCGCAGCTGTGTTTTGTGGGACCGTGGCGAGCGGGGTGGGTGGTACGACGATTTGGTGGCGTGGTGAAATGTCACGCTGCCCGGTCGTTGCACACAATGGTCTGTTTGAAGGCTGGGATGGTATTTGATCGAATCGTTTTTCCGTCAATGGCCCAGTTTGCAGGAAAATTGTCGCGGCAGCCGGCAGCGCTGCACGCTTGTTTGTTTGGGTTTTGTCGTGACTAATTCCCGGGATTAAACGGCCGTTTCACAAAGAAAATGCTGCCTCTCGGGGACCATGACTCGTCCAAAGTGGCCTGCCATCGCTCAATTCCCTCCGTTTCTGCATGTACATAATTTGGACGATTATCCGCGTTATAGCTAGAAAAAAAACGCTGGAGGTGATCGACTGATGGATACGACGGGGATTATCAGTCCGAACGGATACTAGGCAGGGTTCGGATCGGACCGAGTCGATCGGGCGGGTCAACTCCTGGACGGTCCACATCACATGGAGGTCATGTTGCATCAGCTGTGGTATGTATCTGCACGCACCGTCGGAACTTATCTGCCTGCAATGGCATAAATCAGTTCCGGTGATTTAGACGGCCACATTTCCTTCGGAGACTTGTTGCAAGTCATGGGAGGAAAAGGGACCGCCTAGGCGGCGGCGTATCGACCAGGCGGATTGTTGTTTTTGTTTGGCTGCTATTCCAAAGAACTGTTTTTAGTACCGAACATAGGATTAGGGATTTTATGATGAAACATGGCCTAGATGTGACTTTTAGTAGATTTCACTTTCCGGTGCTGTAAAAGGCCGTGCTGAGTGGAAACAAACGTCATTGCATACATTCGCTTATCTCCCTCATTAATTTTCTTGATGCTGCCTGGTGTTGAAAATGTCTGCTCAGCACTCGGATCTGCGCAGAGATCCGTTCACCCTCCGTATACGAACGGCACGCACCAACGCGTGGGTATATGACACGGCCGCTGCTGGATAATGGTCTGATTATTTTACCAGGATACCAGGCGTAGCGAAGCACATCATTATGGCGGTGTGCAAGTGTCCGTTATTGTGGCTTGGGCCAGGTCACATGCTTAGGACGCTTATCGCGCACTCTGCGCGTTCCCACCGGACTGGTTGTTACGCTGAACACCTGTTCCGATGCCCTGCAAGCTCCTGCCATCCCGAAAAAGCACACCCAGGTTCTGCCCGTGCATCTGCCGTTTCAGGTTACCTCTGCTCTGTCGTGCAGGCTTTTGACGGTCATGTTGCCCATCCGCTGTTTACCTCGGTGATAGTTTATATAAGACGTCAGTACAGCTGCTGCTCTCCGTCATCATTGGCGTCAGTGGCGCCGACAGATATTTTAATGGTTGGCCAATTACGTCAAACGGTCATTAGAGCGGTCGTCTGTTGGCGACTGGCGAGTTGCGCTTTGCCGTGCCACTCGAAGTTCGAATGGGATTGTTGTGCTTACGAGGGACAGTAAATATGTAGTATGCAGCGAACTTGTTTCAGTAGTAGGTCCCATGACTTCCTGAACGTTAGAGGACGAGTCCATCGTGCTAAAATGCGCGACCCGACCCGTCACAGGTCAGCTCAGAACAGCAGTGGTTGACCCAAACGCAAGCAGGACCCGGGGATTATGACCCGAGTCATATGACCCGATCACTATGTTTTATGAGCGAATGTGCCGGTCATTGGCCTCATCTACAAGTCCGAGTTATGCTAAGCCTCGCTTTCACATCGATGCTGGGCTGGACCATCGTACTGGTGCCGGACCACCTTTTTCGTGTGTCTGTGAAAGGTGAACGGATCCCATGGGTTGGTGTTTTTGTGTGTAAGAAGGCGAGGCTCTTTGTGTCTAGGCAGAATTTTATACGGCAGGGATGGAGAGGTTTAGTGCTTCTCTGATGCATTGTTTAGGTTTTACACTTCACAGCACCTCCCATCACTCGATCAGTACGGATCACATGACTCGATCACTCGACCCAGGCAATGTCCAGGTCCTGTGCACTTGGAAATCGGTCCCCTTCTGCCGGTTGCGGCGGACGCAAGAGAAGGATATTTCAGTTTCCCGCCTCCCCTATTGCGATTACGGTTGCCCCTGCTGTGTCGTAACTCGCAGGGCCCGATTCATATGCTTTATGTTATGGTGATTGCATGTTTTCAACGCTGGGGAAGACGTTTCTCCACCGGTTCGGTGGTTTCTCAATTCTGAGTTTCCCCACGACACGAGTCGATATGGTGACCTTTTAACCACTTCCTCGATAATTGGTGTTAGAAGCTGATTTCTTAACACAAATCTGCCGATTGTGAGCATGCCTTCCTTGGCTGGTGTTGTTCATCAGCTTTCCTCGCGAAACTAACCCGGGAACACACTGCTGCTTCCCCGGTCAGTTTGTTTCATAATCGGTTTTTATTGGGCTGCCCGAGCGTGCGTTGCGTCAGCCGACCTCTTATGGCCCGGACAGTCTGAGGCGGAAGCTTTGAGCCGTTTTGACCAATTGTGTCTCAAGGACAGCGATTAGCGGAAATGACAACCTACGCTCCTATCAAAGCTTTTACATACATAACGAAACATAATCGAGAGATCACAATGCCATTCAGTTGCCATTATGCATTGCTTGCTTATGTAGCGCTTAATCGAAAAAGTGCCGGCTCGCTGTGTATTAGAAATCGCGATAGATTTTAACGCTGAATTATTGTGTTGCATTGTCTGTGCCTGCCCAACTTCCCCATTGATAAATTAAGCGCCGATCTCCAGGATTAACGGCTCGTCTCTGCTTGTTTCAGATTTTCGAGATGATTGACACCAACGGAAACCGCATCATCTCGCCCCGCGAGTACAAGACCTTCTTCAGGGCCTACGGACTCTCAGACGAGGTACGCTTACGGGATATTTACGATTTGGATTTTCGATTTACTGTGCCTTGGCACCAGAAAGACTAAGACGCTAGCCTAGATCGGCCACATAGGACTATATTCTGCGGCCCTTTTCATTACAATGAATGATTGTTCTACGGTTTTGACATAACTTTAGTGACCGTATCGTCTGTGTGCTTTACCAAAATTTTCCAGTTTCGATCACACATGCACAAGTATTAATTCAGTCCTGTATGTAGTGATGCCAGCTCAGGTTTACGGTACCACAGAGCACCGTATGCCTCGTTTGTCCCGTGTCTCAGACTGGTGTGTGTTAATCGGTGTTTCTCCTGCCCGCCGACAGATGGCAGAGCGGTCGTTCCAAGCCATCGACCAGAACAACGACGGCTTCCTGAGCATCGACGAGTTCGTCAACGTCGCCATCGACTTCCTGTACTCTGAGGACGAGAACTCGATCGGGAAGGACTTTTTCGGCGTGCTCGTGGACGAGCTGCCGGAGACCGTGCGGACCATTGACCCGCAACAGGTGGTCTCTGGTTGAACGGTAGGGGTCTGTCTGGGTCTGGTCGTAACTGGCTGACCCGCCCGTCTGTTAGTGAGATGGTCCTGCGGCGGAGGTAGCTCCAGGCTCTGGAAGGAGTTTCTACTTGAGTCCTGGAGGGCCAACGCGCCACCAGCGAGATGATGGAAGGACCAATGGAAGGACGGACAGGCGAGCAGGTCTGACATGGCTCTGAGAGCTGTATTTGTGGCGCCAGTCTGCTGCGTGTCGGTGTCTGAAACTCTGGACTGCTCGGCGACTGTGGGGAGAATCCCCAGCTCCTCGACTGGCAAGCTGTGGTGAAGACTGAGGATTGAGGACCACACAGTCTCACGACAGGACGCCGCACGTCGACATGCAATACAGAGTCAGGGACAGAACTGGCGGCCAAGGGCTGGAGAGAGGCGACCCGCGGGAGGTGACGGCAGGACTCGGCTGTGCCGCCGTGTCAGAATCTGGAGACCGCACACAGCTGTGAGGGCGGTGCCGCGACAGACCAGTGAGCCGTCTGTCCTGCGGAGAGAGAGAGAGAGAGAGAGAGAGAGAGAGAGAGAGAGAGAGAGAGAGAGAGAGAGAGAGAGAGAGTCGCGGCTGCCGCAGCTCTGCTGTGTAGAACTGTGGTCAGCCGAGCCGCCAGGCTGTGTATCTGTTTCTGTACACCGATCTGTGGACTGACTGGGAGGGGCCGCGGGCCGCCGTCACCATCAGACGGGACGGAATGGCGAGCGGAGCCGCGACCCCGCGCTGTGATCTGTAGCCTCTGGGCGGGTGCTGTAGCCTCCTACTGTGACACAACTCTGTTTGATAAGTAAATCATGGACCACTGAACTGACATCCCAGGCGCGGGGCTGCTGTTTTTTTCTTGCTCTCCTCCGGACGTCTGTCAAGTGGACAGATTCCTGCAGGCATGGGCCCGTTTTTCTGTTCTAACCACCTGGACTGAAGCATCGTATTTATTTGATATTCTATGGATGTTGAAGTTTCTGGGTCGGTCTCGGGCTGCTTGAGACGGCTCAGCTCAAAGTTTGTGGGGCTCCCACGCAACCAGGTAACCACGCAACAATTTATTTACTTCTGCATATTATCATGGAATGGTCAATAATTATGGTAAAGGTAAATTCAACGGAACGATCTGTTATGTCTTCCACACGGTCATGGCGTTGACTTGTCGGCCCCTTGTATAAGACAGTACTAACGGAATTGGTTTTTAGCCCCGCAATTGGTGGTGTGGTCGTTGTGTTAATTACATTTTGTACATAGTGTAATGAATACTGGACTCTGCTGTGAATACTACTGTGCGTAATGGGATGATAATACAAATGTGATGAATTTATTGGCGTTTTTGCAACTGAGAAACACGTTGAATCATTCATCGAGTGGGGACTGAGGAATACCAGTGCGGTCCGGTCGAGCAGTGTGACCGGGAACCGGGCGCTGTGTGACCAGGACTGAGCCGATCGGAATGCGAACTGACACTGAGGGAAGAAGGGGTGTGATGGAGGGTAGAGTGGAACTGAACTGTGCACTGATGCGGAGAGGACTTCAACTTGTCAACTCGGGGAAACTGAAACTGGACGGAGGAGACGACGGGCTGGGGCTGGAGGACTGGACGGAGGGCCTGTACGAACTGAGACTGGTAACAGTGAATGGAGGTGAATGGCTGGGGTTGGACGGTGACAAACCACACCGCCTGCAGTGGACAGACGAGTTGCCTGCTCCGAAGGGTGGTTGTAGATGGCGTTGCTGTGGTGACTAGTCCACTATCCGCTCCGTACACAGGATACCTGGAGTCGTGTCTGATCTCCACTCCAGCTCAGGAGGGGAGGACGGGTGTTGTCTGCGGAACGTGGTCCAACCAACTCAGTGGCGGTACTGGGCAGACAGCTCAGTGCTCAGAGAACTGAGTGATGTTTGGTGTCAGGCTGCAGGACATTATTACACTGAATCTCTTTATTGCAAGATACTTGGCAGGCATAAGAAGACTACTCGTTTCACCGGCAGTTTAGTTCGCAAATCGTTCACCACCAGCATTTCTTTGAACACATCCATTTGAATGAGTAGTACTCAGGACTCACAACTAAGACGGTCCTCTTAAATTCACTACTTAAAAATAAAATACTAGCCCTTGCTGTCAATCGGTGATCACATGGACAAAAAACAAAACACGAACGCAATGAGCCTCAATGTTAATACTGAAAAACAATTACAGCAAAGCCTGGAATTTATCGACAACAATAGGAAAAACATTAGAAACGCAATGTCAATACAGTCGATCAAAGATTTTTCATTCTAAGACATGCATTGGTATAGGAAGATGTTCACTGTTCAGTCTCATCGAGTGAAAAATCTAACTAAATCATGATCATCACATCGAATTAGACTCATAGCACAGGCTTGAGTCTCTATTAGGTGCTCTCACAACTGTAAGCGTTACACAACTCGGGTGAATATGAGGGCGTAGTCCTTTAGCGTCGGCCTCTAAACGACCTTTGTGACGATATTATACATAACCACATAAATAGCAAGGCCACATTATATCACGAAGTTGAAACGTTCACAATGATACTAACCAAGTACAGCTAATCCAACACACACATCGATCTAACAAAACGCTTCATCCTACTCTTCCTCCCTCTCAACGATCCAGTCCACCTTACACTGTCTGGGCCTGGCCGGCGCCCCCGGAGAACTTCTTGCCTCCTCCCTCAGGGACCCAGGGTTCCCCTCCGCATGTGCATCCATAGTTAAAGCGCCCGTCAGGTGTCTCCCGGAATCCTCTCCGACGCTCCACCGCCACCCTATGGGAACTATAAACTCCCTCTCGCGGCCTAGGACGCTCCTGGCGACTCCAGACGCTCTCCAACGACTCCAGACGCTCTCCAACGACTCCAGGCCCTCTCCAACGACTCCGCACGCCCTCTGACGACTCCAAACGCTCTCTGATGACGACTCCGCACGCCCTCTTACGACTCTAGCTGCCCTCCGACGCCCCTAAGCGCAGGTGACTCTCATGGAGCGCGAGCTGCTGTCTCGGTAGGTGAAGTAGACCAGGGTGGCGAGGCGGCCGGCCAGCGATACACAGGCGGTGACCAGCGCCATCATCAGCATGGTGGGTGTGCTGCCCGTGGCGATATCGTAGTTCTTCTGGTAGACGGCGGACAGAGCCCACACCAGCACTGAGGGAGCAGGACGACAGACGGTTATATTTCACTCAGACGGTGTGATGTAGAGACTAGGGACAAACTGGGGTCAGAGATAAAGGACGAGGGAAATTTTTGGGAACAAACTGACACCCTCAGTCCTTCAGGTAAAGTTGAAATGATACCAAAGACGATATCGTGTTAAAGTGATCGTATATCGTGCACGTATTATCGTATATCGCATATGGATGGGCGAAAAGTGCGGGTATAGTATGTCGTAAACGAATTTTCCGTGCAGGGGGCTTAGTCCCATGATGCCGATATCCGAGGGCAAATCGACATACGAATGCCGGAAGCTGATAACGTCTTTCTTAGAGGGACACTCGACTCACCGAATCCGGGTGTGATGGTCCAGCGCGTGTACTTGTCCAATACGGTGATCTCGAGGAGAAGCCAGATGACGATGGAAGCGGCCAACACACCGGCGATGGCCGAGCTGGCTACCTCGTTAGAGCCCTGGGAAAGGCGGAGGGAAGAGATTTCAGAACACTATCTAAGGGTGAACTGGCTACCTCGTTAGAGCCCTGGAAAAGGCGGAGGGAGAGAATGTCAGAGGGGAAAGAGGCTGAACGATCATCTCCTTCCACGTGCCCACTGGGAGCGTGCTAACCAGGGGAGCGACACGACCTAATCAATAGACATGTATGATGGACTCAAGGGATCATTTGACGGCGCAGCAACGGACGGAGGGGGCCACGGGGCGGCGACAACCAGTATATTGTAGAATGGAGCCCGACACTCCCGGAAATTATTTTAACTTACGTCGTAGCACGAATGACGTAACACAACTTCACTTTTACGCATACCGTCTACTTTTCAGCTCTCGTCCCGAGCCCAGCGCTGTATGTAAATGACAGCATGACGGAAGTCGCCCGCCCCCCCCCCCCCCCAAAAAAATGACCGCCATGAGGGCTCACACTGTTCCGGTATCCCCGCCATCACCCAAGGTCGGCCTACATATATCGGTAACTATCAGCCACCGCTGGCAAACATGCGCTCCTATTTCCTCGGCCAGCGTGCGTTATCGGCCGGGTGGCGCTATCGTCCGGCCGGGCGGAGCCAACACAGAACGAAACGGAGCGCATCCGACGAGCAGAGAGCGTCAAATACCAGCAGGAGGCACGTCGAATAGTTGTATACTTTGAATACCGACGTAATGCAATGTTGTATTTGTAAATGTCATCCCAGGTGAAGGCATGGGAGTGATCTCGAGCGGGAGTACAGCTAAAATGCGAAAACATATTTCGATTTGGAGATGTTCAGAAACGTGAGAAGCTGCCAGCGAAATGAATGACGTTACGCATGTTTTAGGTATTGCCGGTGAATCATATACTGCCGGACGGAACTGCCGCCAGTGTGTGCTGAGTCAACAGCAGAGGCGGCGAAGTCGTGTAACACACAGTCTCTGAATGCGTGAGTCAACAAACCTCGACTCTAATATATCGAATCATATATCGACGGGGAACGAGTGTGCGCGACAGAATACCAATCAGTTAGTCAATAGCAGACACTCTGTCAATACGCATAATGGGCGTTGCATGAAACGTCAAAGGTCCACAGAACCCTAGACAGCGCTTGCTATCGGCAGTAGCAATTGCATGACAGAACGATTTTATACCGTACAATGAAAAGGCATCGTTCACAAAGTGCAAGCTATGCTTTGGATGGGTATGGTTTTTTAGTCTAACAATTAAAATACACAGTTAGAGTTATTACTGCCCACGCTTTCTCGCAACAAAGTCGATAGTACGGCGCCACCCGCAGTCACCCAAACCTCATTTTCCTCTGAACTCGGCGCCCGCACTCACTCACCTCCCCCACATAGACGATGACCACGTCGAGGTTGATGAGCGCCGCTATGATGGTCCAGGTGGTGTACAGGGCCAGACCGTTGTGGACGCACGTCTTGACGTACCAGTTCTCCCGCGGGGTGGGAGGCGGCTGGGCGAACTGGGCTCGGTAGTAGCTGAGGGGGACATACAAAAAGCAGTCAATAAAAGGACTTATGGGTCCAGTAGTAGTACTTGAATGGTACACAGCGGTCGGAGATGTTTGCTGACGGCAAAGCAGAATGCATGCTTAGCTACTGTTTTCGGTACTTGATCAGTGTAAAGGAATACTTAAACTAAACGTCAACATAACAGTAGAGTCTACAAGCAGCAGCTCCTGTTGCTACTACAGAGCAGGGAGAGCACCTTCTGCTACCATTACCCTGCGCTGTTTAATATCGTCAAACACCCGGGACTGCTGCAGCGGCCTGATTACCGAATGTGAAGGACGACCAGCGCGAGGACGTTGCAGAGCGCCAGCAGCAGCAGCAGCACGCAGGCCGCCGTCAACTCCTCGTAGCCCCAGGCGAACAGCCAGCCAACGTTAACGCAGAAGCTGGCGATGATGAGCAGCCAGAAGGACAGAGGGAGGGTGACCGGGGTCAGGTAGACGGGGCCGGCGTCCGTCCGCCGCCACAGCTGGCTCAGACCTGTGGGACGGGGGACGGGGGACACTGACAGTCAGTGACCGGGGTCAGGTAGACGGGGCCGGCGTCTGTCCGCCGCCACAGCTGGCTCAGACCTGTGGGACGGGGGACAGTCAGTGACCGGGGTCAGGTAGACGGGGCCGGCGTCCGTCCGCCGCCACAGCTGGCTCAGACCTGTGGGACGGGGGACAGGGGACGGGGGACAGTCAGTGACCGGGGTCAGGTAGACGGGGCCGGCGTCCGTCCGCCGCCACAGCTGGCTCAGACCTGTGGGGACAGGCCGGAGGGGTCTGTCAGTAACCTGCGGAGCGAGGAACCTGAGTCTCCACACCTGGGTAAGACGCATTGACAGGGCGGGGGCGTCAGCCAGACCTGTCAATGGTAACTGAAGCAGGGTTTCGGAGTCGGAGTCGGAGTCGGAGTCGGAGTCGCCTGGAGTCGTGGCAAGCAGCCAGGAGTCGGAGTCGGAGTCGGAGTCGGTCAAGCTGCCTCGATTCCGACTCCGGAAAATAACTAGAATCTGTGATATCACTTTTCAGTTTTTTTTTTTACCAGTTGCCCGCGGTAGAATTCGCTTCCGGGCGATAAAAATTGCACACATCTTGTTTTTGTTCTGAATGACAAACATTGGATCTTACAAGTTTCAAATTATATCATAATTTAGTAGCCACTAAACTTCCACTATCTGAAGTATTTGACGAGTCAAAGACTAAATGACAACTGTATTTTTACTTTCTTCGCCTATGCTCCGAAAAGCCTATCAACACATAGGAATGACCGACATGATGGCGATGCTCGACTCGTGTTCGTGATACGGCCGCCTCTCGCGCTTCTCGGCGGGTTTCCACGCTGGCCGCTGACCTCAATTGTGGATTCAGCTGCGTCCACGTGGGAGAAATGGTGACTGCATGAAGGAGACCGGAGAGTAGGAGCGGTCTCCCCGCGCACATAGACCTAGCACGTGGCGTCATATCACGCAAAATTTTGGCGGCCGTCATTGCCATTCGTATCAGACCCGGAGTCGGAGTCGGAGTCGGAGTCGGAGTCGGAGTCGGTCAGGAGCCCGGAGTCGGAGTCGGAGTCGGAGTCGGAACAGCGCTACCACGACTCCGAAACCCTGAACTGAAGTATACGGCACAGACGTGATCGCAGCTGTGCCAGATTTATCGAAGGGATGACACCCGTGGTGAGGTCAAGATATATACATTTTCTTTTTAGCTTGTCGACAGTCGACAGAACGCTGTAGCCATGGCCAGATAAGGTGGAACGTTTAATCGTGCCGCTATTTCATCTCTCCACAAATACCGATCTTTTATCGCGTATCTGACCGCGATAGCCGCGCTTACCGCAAAACCACTTACCACTAAAACGCACTGATGTTGCATAACGCCTAGACCATGTCCTATGAGAGGACGATTCTAATGTAATTTCGACCGGCAAAAAACTGCGTATCCCGTAATGTGCGCTTCACCGATATGAACACACAAGGCTCGGCTTTAATCGTCTGGCAGCCAGTCACAAATCACAATGCCTTCATACCAACACAGCACGGGCGGTCGAGGGGCGTACCACAGGGCAAACAGTCTTCCGTCGACAGCCCAGGAAGAGCCATCGACACATAAATGCATGAGTAAATACACTATCTTTCAGAAATAGACACAAACTAAGCCCTCACCGATCCAGGACATGCCCGCCGGCGCCAGTGCTCAGTGTGGCGGCGTGACTCGTGAGCCGTGAGGGATGTGACCAGCGGGCTCAGCGACTAACCATAGACGAGTCTACTCACCCGCCCTGGACAGCGACTCAGTGACTCGGCGACTCGGTACGACTCACCGTAGACGAGTCCGATGCCGAGCCAGGTGTAGATGATGCCCCAGATGGCGAAGGCCCAGCCGATGGGCGTGATGAATACCTCGTGTGTGTCCGACACGTCGGCGGCAGACTTGGGCACGATCCCTGAGGGGGAGAGGGGGGGGGGACGGTCAGAGGCCGGTCAAACAGGTCAGAGACAGGCTAGGTCAGTCAGCCGGCGCAGGGCATACACGGACTTGGAAACACCGACGGTGGACGGAGGCGGAGTTTCACAGAAAGGACAGCATCGGCGGCCACTTGACAGCACAACCTGCCTAAAGCGGCACTGGTGTATTGAAGCGATGTTGTGACACATACTCGAATACGCATAAGAATATCGACAAAAATAAAACTATTTGACAGCAGCCATGACAAAGTGGATGCGACGTCTGATCACCGCTCGCCCCACCCCTCGCGCCGTGCCCGTCTCTCCCGGAGTCCCCAGACCACTCACCAAGACTGGCGTTACTGGAGGCGTAGTTGAAGAACAGCGTCAGCGCGTACAACGGCAGCGCGATCACCGTGCACGCAAACTGCACCTTCTCCTTCGGCGGCAGCCCCATGGCGACGTTAGACGCTCCCCCGCTGCTGTCTACGGTCAGCCCTCAGTCTTCGCCCTCCCGTCCAGTCGCCGCTCTATCTCCGACTACGCTGGCTCGACCTCAGACTACCGCTCGCCGACACACGCGCCGCCTTGGCGCCGCCCACCCGCCGCCGACTGTTCCGCGCCCGGCCGCTGTGACCTTCAGTCTCCACCTGCGTCCGCTCCGCCGTCCACCGCTCCTCACCTCGGTCTGACGGTATATAGGGCCTTGGGTCTGACCCGGAAGAGGGCCGCACAGTGAGTCCTCTCTCCTCTCTCCCGATATGTATGGCGGGTAGGATGGGAGAGGATTATGTAACACAACCGCGTGATATCACGATTCGCCGCTAAACTGACGCTCACTTGACTACTGACGCCGCAGAGCTCACACCACAGCTCTTATATAACGCCCGTGACGTCACTCGTGCCTCGTGTGTGTGACGTCACGTGTTTGCGGTGTGGGCGGGGTCCGAGTGAGTCGATGGATAATTCAGCGATAACAAAGCGCGTGCGATGTACGACTGCGATCGATGGTAGCCAGTGAAATTGTCGAGCCAGCGCAGCTGGTGCGTTCCGTCTCCATAGCAACCAGGCCCGAGTCAATGGGAAACGTTAACAGTGGCAGTATGACGTCATATTCCAGAAATACGCCTCGCGTGCCCTCAAAACACCGTAGCGTACGACTGAAATAACTAAACAGCCCGCGATCCACACGACTGAAAAGCCTTGCATCTACGCGTCGGGCCAAATGCCTGCAAATTGTACATACAACGCACAAACTATCGACATCCGTGGAGGTTGAAGGCAAACAGCTCCTTTTATTTCGTTCAGAAGGGGTTCGTAGACTGCAGACGTGCTGGCACACTGCCCCCAACTTGTTTTAGAGCAATAGGACGTCTCAACTTCGTACAGGCAAACTCTCTAAACGCGTCAGACGCAAATGCAAATGTTCATAGGACAGCTCATAGGTGCCAGTCACCCTCCAGGCGTACGGTGACGTAATCTAAACAGCTGAGTGACGTCAGCAATCTCAATTGTTCCGTGAAACGGTCCCGAGAGTCGGCGGATGACAGCTCTGTGTGCACCGCAAATAGTGTGGGCGGGGATACGAGTATATGGGTTAATGATGGCTGGTCACACGGAAAGGTTTATCCTTCGATAGTACGCTTTACTCTTTCGAGACAGAAATGTCATGCGTTCGCTGTAAAATCACAGACTCAAGAAAGACGGAACAAACGAAGAAAATGTTACTGGCATCTAAATGTCACTACTGAACTCAATTTTTAATGGTCTGTGCCCTAAAGGACGAAATATTTTAGCTGTGAGCCGTCTGACAATGCAAAAAAAAAGAATTATGTAGCTATACTTGTATTTCTCGCCCCGCAGCGATACCAATGTCACAGCGACGCGGATATATATCTCACCATTTTCAGCGTATCTGGACCGCGACTGGAAGACTGACAGCTTAGCCAGGTACGAGTATAACCGTCACGACAATACACATCCGAAACACGCTATAGCAAAGATATCATGGGCATACGTAACGGTACCATGCCATATATCTAACTTCAGCACAAAAAGAGCCAAAACACAGAGTAGTGCTTTGCCTTAAATGCTAGTACCATTATCATTATGCGAACTTAACAAAATATTATGGATTACACCCAACACTAACAAATACCAAGGTGACGATACAATCCGTACTTACATCATGTAAAGTGGAAGCCCAGATCGGTAAAGTTCACCACCAAAAGGGCCACGTTCCGAGCTTACCAAGCGCACGCTGCCACTGCCGAGTCGAAATATCCAGCTCACAAGGCAAAGCACACACCAAAAGTCCTACCTGAGTTAACGGCACAAGCCAACATTATCATCCCGGGCGGACTGTCAAAAGAGCACAGGATAAACTTCTGAACATTTTAGTAATAGTTGTATCCCCGCAATGTTCTAGTCTATCAGATCTCACTCAGACCCAGGTTTAGTTATAGTAAATCCTTGTGTAAGGCCCACTGCAGTGCCGGAGGGCTGAGTCCCGACATTCCCCTCCCCCTTCCTTCTTCCCAGACTCGGCTCTTGTATCACAATCAAACGGAATTTATGCTGTTTTCACCAGTTCCCGCTCATGCTAATTCCTCTTAATGCTACTATTACCAGTTGGAGCAAGAAGCACAACTCTAATGCCCTAATTTTACCAATTCCCATTTCTCCCGGAGTGGGGCGTTGTGCCCACTTCCCTTACTGAGCCCTGTCCCAGCCCAGCACCCCTCCCCTGCCGCCCCACCCAGCCCCTTTATAACCCCCCGGGACACCCCGTCCTCCAGCGGCACTCGGTTGGTCCCACGAGTTACTCCGTCGGCAGTGTCCAGTCCTCAGACCGGGTCCGAGTCGGATCCGGGCGCCGCCGGCCGCTCGGACTCCGCCCGGCGCCCGGACTCCGGGACCGGCCGGGCCGCTGAGGCCCCCGGACCGGCCGCCGCCGCGCCGGTCTCTGTAACACGGGGGACGGGGCTCGTCAGGGCGGGTGACTGACCGCTGGCGTCCGAAACTTAACGAATTTATACACTACACAGGACGGTGATACGTTGACAGGCACAGCTCAAACAACCCGCTAAAGCAGACATCAAAGTGGTAGAAATTGTGTAAATAACTAGGCAAAGTAAGATTATGAAAAACCTCTGGAAAAAACGAGCGTGGTGTATGTGTATGGGACGTGGTCCTTACCAGTGGGCTCAGCCTGCGGCCGGACCAGCTGGCCGGGACGGTGTTTCGGCACGGCTCCGGTACGCGGCGCCACCGTCGCCCCAGCTGTGCCTCCCTCTCCGGAGGTCGCCATCGGAGCCTACAGACGAACAGACACGGAGAGTGGTCAGAAAAATAGGTGAACGCGAGTGTCCCGCTTCGATAACAGAGAAAACGGGATTTTGAAGTGTTCGAAAAGAAACAGAACGACAAACTACTTGGAAGATCCGGTAACAAGAAAAGCTAGAAATGCTACGATGAGGTAAGTTCATACATTAAAAGCAAACACTTCTCAAATATATTATCAGAGCAATATTTTAACGTAGTTTTATTGTTTAACAACCTCCATTGAAGCAGTTACTAATCAGCGGCACATTTCCAGTGCGCAGTGACGCGAAAACAACCAGTCATCGTCTATCGATTGACTCACCGCCTCCTCCACCAGTCTGACGTCATCGGCCGTGCGAATGACGTCACCGGGGGCCTCGAGGTCAGGAGCGGGAGTGCCGCAGGTGCCGGCGGCCGAGGCAGCGCGCTCCGGCTCCCGGCGCCACCGCGTCTGAGGCAGGGCACCCACAGAGGAGCGTTACATTATCGGACAGGTCAGCCTATCGTCTACCAAGACATAGCAAGGGCTAGCCCGTTGTTCTAGGCCGAGGCTAGTCTTTGATAGGTACAGAACATAAACTGATATACCTGTGGAGTGAATTATATATAAAAAAATGTCCTGCAGAACCATTCACCCTAAAGGATATCACTCACCTAAGCAAGAAACCGCTTGTAATACGAAACACAGCCGGCTTGGTCTTACCAATGATGGCACCCCATCCACGGCTAATGCTAACCACCCTCTCAGATCAGTTTAGCACTCGTACCCTCTTCTCCGGTTACTGCTCACCCGTCTCGGTCGTCGGCCGGACCGGGCTCGGCCGCTGGGACGGGCGCCGGCTGCGGCCGCCGCTGCAGGGAGGTTTTGAGCCTGGACACACACAGAAACACACACCGTCAGCCGATGTCGGGGGCGACAGCAGGCAGCCAGGCCGTACAGAAAGGCAGAGCATGACGGTGGCGACAGAACAACCGGAGATAGGATATCAATGATAAACGGTGGTGTTAGAACTACACTGACTGGTGCGTCTACTGTTTTTTGTGGCAATTTATCCGCTCAGAAACTGCCAGTTAAATCCCTCCTATGCAGCCTTCCTATCCATTCCTATCTCACGACGATGACCAATGCCACCTGGCGATACATAGTTTATGCGACGAAACCTTTGAAAAGCACAGGTTGAGCTACCGCGCACAAAAGATCCCCATACACTGGCGTCCTTTCCTGTACCAGGTGCATAATAGCCTCATTACCAACGCGCCACTTAGCCCCATCAAACACTTCCGTAAATTCCGTACGCACTGACCGTCAGGGTCGCTCCGTACGATCTCCGGGCGGGCGGCCTCTGGGAACGGTACACGGGCAGCAGCTGGTCGTCCTCAGACTCAGAGACGAGCACGGCCAGCGTGGCAGAGACCAGGCGCCGCTTACACACCGGGCAGACTCGCCGCGAGCGCAGCAGCCACGGGTCCACGCAGTGACAGTGGAACGCTGGGGAGGGGGGAGTCAGACAACAGTCACGGGTCCACGCAGTGACAGTGGAACGCTGGGGAGGGGGGAGTCAGACAACAGTCACGGGTCCACGCAGTGACAGTGGAACGCTGGGGAGGGGGAGGGTCAGACAGCACACAGAGATAGTGGAGCCCGGCTGGAGAGGGGAGAAGCCTGAGCCAGAAAGTACTAATGGAAGAGACTCCTCCACTTCAATGGCAAAAATCACCATTATTTCCCCCGGCCAAAATGCCACGTCTTTCCTGAGGCTAGGAAAACTACCTATCACGATAAACGACAACCCTGTGCTCAAAACCTCCCTCTATTCTCTCCTCTATATACAGGGTGATTCATAGCCGTGTGACCTAGGGTAGTGTGGGGTAATTTGAACATATTTTTACGTCTTCTCCGTTGTACCAAGTTCCAGCTCAACCCTGGATGTAGAAAAACTGCTTCAGTAGCACAAGTGTCACTTGCTTTCACCATGCAAGCCTCATTTTTGGACGAGCCGAGCATACCTTGAAAAGCATAGCCTCACTTCTCCATCAAGTCACGGTGTGTTCAAATTGCCCCACTGTGGGGTAATTTGAACATACTGCCTTTACCTGTCATAAAAACGATAGTCTCGCCAGCACCGATGTTGTTTGACCCATAAACAAATAGGCAGAACAATTCTAAACACACCTTCACTTGAAAAATCAACACAACAACAAAAATAACAGTTGCAGAGTATCAATATCTGCACGCTGCACACCGGTCAGTTGACAAAATTCGCCTCTCTTCAATTAACAGAACGTCTATCATTTTTGTTCGATAAAAACTCTCCCAACCTTGCTGCACCTGTTATAGTGGTGCCAATCGAAACCTGGACATTTTGAGTTCTGATTTTGTCCAATGTCCAATTTGGAACTGGTTGGACAAAGGTAGCAGACTGGACAACATTGGACGATGGCTTGCTACACTTCAGCGCTTTTTATAAAGTAACGTGCATAGCATTGATTGGCGAATGGAAAGCTTGTTAAGCTCTCAATATAATGAACACTTTTCGGCTGGTAAAATTACATTATAAGCAATTTAAATGACAGTTTTGAGTGTTGATTAATGCGTAATTTTCAGACATATTTGGACAAATGGCTGCCTTTAACATTTTTGAACGGAAATCAACGG